ACATATCTTCCTTTTGAAGCATTTATGCGAAATTAGAACTTGTAAGTGTAGTTGATAACCAAATTGAATAATCTAAAAAAAACATATGAGTGGTATTAGGAAGATGAATGGATCTTAGAATCAGTAGCCGATACTGAAATAGTTTTTAGAGTAGACACATATATTAATAATAGAAAATTTTTGTATAGAGTATATACAAAAAAAAAATGTTAAGATAAACACAATCAGTAAAATAAATAATTAACCAAAGAAAATTCAAATTTTAAGACAACACGTGATCATGTCTAGAATTTGGAAGTCCGTTGGTATTGAAATCCAGTACCCAAACGTGAGTCAATAGGCTGCAAGTGCAAAACTGAAAATCTTAATAAGGTAAACTTCAGTTTTAGCTTGTGACTGACCGGTAGTATAAAAATGAGAATTCCAATACCAAATACCATAATATTACCCAAAACCTAAATTTACTAATTTCATGCTTATGTGAAGGATTATCTCGTAACTTTTTATAATTTAATAGTAAAAATTTTACTATCTGGTTAGCAATGGTGTAATTTACAGAAAATATTATATATAATTGATCGACTTTTATTCTATAATTAGTCTATTGGAGTGAGACATTAAATCCCTTAAATAAGATCATGTTAATTATTTTTTTCAATGAAATAGATCCAACAGACCTATTGCACATATGAAATAAGGTATAATGTAAAAAAAATATTTCCAACATTTAATTGAATAGTCACTTTGACTCTTATTCTTTTTAATATAACATTTTGACCCTTATTGATTTATTTTATAGCGAAAAGATTCATTTGTTGATGAAAATCATTAGTTGATAAATGATTAATGCTCCAAAATATGAGCTTTTTACTTAAAATGAAACAATAAAGGCTAAATGCTCCGTGAAAAAAGAAAAAGTGATTAAATAACTATTCGATCGAATATTAAGGATCTTTATATGCTAAAATAAAATATTAAGAACTAAAATACTCCAATAAAAAATACAAATCAAAATAAATTTTTGGATAAATTATATGTTTAGTACCTAAACTTTCATTTTTTTCAAAACCATACCTAAAGTTTAATTTTTGTTTCATTTTATTACCCGTTCCAAATTTAATATTATGTTTTAATTTTTTTAGGTACTAAAACAGACCGAAATTAGTAGTTTAGGCACTAAACGCGTTAAGTTTTTAAAAGAAATGTACTAAAATGAAATAAGAAATAAACATTAAGTATGATTTTGAAAAAAAAATAGAAATCTAGATACTAAAGTGAATCAAAACTGATAGTTTAAGTTTTAAATGTGTAATTTACCTGAACTTTTTTGATAGAAGTTAGAGGATTAATTTTAACGTTATGCGCTGAAATAATAATGGAGGAAGTTTCCGGTTTCTGAGATTTTATTATGATTAAATACAGGTTGGAATGGTTGGTGCGAAAATGTTGCAATTGCTGTTTGTGATTATTGCGTGTCGCTCTCTCCAAGTCAAAGCGGTCAACATTATTCCTAATTCCACTCCTCTTTATTATCTAACTTTCTTCTAAAAATTTGAAAAGTTATTCTTCAACCATTCGGCTCTTTTTTTCACACAAATAAAATAACTAGGATTCGTGTTATCGATTGTTGCATCATATGTCCCGATTTTATTGATGGGAAGCATCACATAATTTTTTAATCTTCACAGATCATTTTATGTGATCATAATGTATTCTTAGATAAGATAAACATATGATTTTATGTTAGAAAGAATATATTTATAAGATTTTAAAATTAATAAAAATTATAAAAAAAATTAAAACATTTAAGAATACGATTGATCCATTAGTCCCTTCTCAGTCTATCCACACTCCAAAGTAAGTATAGTTTAAAAGTAGTTGAGAGGTTACTTTGTATATTGTGCTATAATAACATTTTGATTTGAATGATTGGTGCGTATAAAAGATAAGTATATATTTATAAACTTTCTTTATGATTGACAACTCAAACGCCTTACAAATACAATTATTTAAACTTACGATATTAAAGAAGATCAATAGTTTTTTTTTATCAAAGTCCGATTCCCATAATAATATTTTATTCTATGTTAAATTATTGTAATGATAATTAGTTGATTAATCTAATATAATGGTTCTACCTATGTAAGTTTATTTATTTTTTAATTTCCTCGTTATGTATTAAAAATTAATTAATTCTTAATTTGATATTTAAAAGGTATATTAAAATACATTATAAATAATTATATTTATTTTAAATAAAAAAATCATCGTATTAAAAAATTGGATAAACTACATGATTGATCACTTTCATTTAATATATGTACACTTTTTTCATTATATTAGAAAAACATAATTTTTTGTCACTTATGTTATTGTTTTATTAAGTTTTCGTCACTTATGCTATGTTTTATTAAGTTTTCGTCATTTACGCTATGTTTTATTAAGTTTTGATTAATGAGATATTGATTACCATTAGTTTAATGATGTGACACGTTAATAAAAGAGTTTAATTTTTATTTTAACTCATGAAATTTGTATAAAATACTAATTATGAGTATTTTTGTAAATCAAAATTTGTTTTAATGCTTTGTTTTTACAAATTTTAATTTTTGACCTTAATTTAAATGTTTATCTATGCGATTTGTTGCAAATGATATCTCTCTAACAATTGATATCAATTTTTCAAATGCAAAACATTTTTGGATAGCTTTATGCACATGCACTTAAATATAAAAATTGGTATTGCATAAAGTATATTAGACTTGGATATGTTGAATTTCATGTGCTACTAACATGTTTGTTAATCTTTGTTGAAATTCAATGTCTTTTAAAGTCAAATTTTTGTTTGGAATGCTTTTATTGAGGGGAGCTTTGATTTTTCAAATGATTTTATGCTAATATTTACCACTTACTCTCCATTATTATTTTTGAACTTTAAAGTTTAATTATTTTTTATATAACAAAAGGGGGAGAATTATGAGTTTGAAAATTTTAGTTTCTCAATGAAAAATGGGGAGCTTTAATATTTTCCAACATTTATCCTTTTTTCATGAAATATTTTATTAAGGGGAGTTTGCCAAAACAATTTTTTGAAATGTTTTGTTATATCAAAAAGAGGGAGATTGTTTAACAATGTTTTATAATATTTTGATATAACAAATTAAGGCAAAAATGTTTTTGGACTTGATTGAATTTGTTCAAAGCTTTCAAAAATAATTCAAAGTCCATTAAACTAGAATTTGGGCACAAAACAATTTTCTGGGTACGTAGTACCGATACTGTTCTTACAGTATCGATACTATATGAATAGTATTGATACTATTCATGTGGTGCAGATACCAAAGGTAAGAGAAGTATCGATACTCTCTAGGTAGTATCGATACTACCAGTTGTTTTCCAAATTGCTCAAATTCCATAATGCAAAATATGTACTTATACTCAAGGGATATCAATACAACTTTACACAGTGGTATCGATACCATAAAGCATAGTATCGATATTGGTCAAGCCCAACGGTTTTCAACGGCTAGTTTATTTAAATATTATAAAGGTAGTACTGATACTCATGAAAGGAGTATTGATACTCCCTGTTCTGGGCAGTTTTATTTTGCAGAAAATTAATCTCCAACGACTCAAAAACATCCCCAATGGCTAGAAACGGCCACAAACTCATTCTAACATATAAAAACTAGTTGAGGACACTTGAAGAAGGTTGGACAACACTTATCCAAGCAATAGATATCAAGAGAAAAGCTCTTTCATTCATTATTTTTCCTTTTCTCTTGTACATATGTGTTTGAGCTCATTGCAAATCATTTAATTTTTTTCTTATGAGCGTAATTTTTGTAAACACCTTCCTCTTGATAGGTTTCCTTGTTTACATCTTTAACCTTTGTAATTTTTTTTGTTCTTGTTGGATTGGTTTAAGCTTACTTTCAAGTCCATCATATGGTGTTAAGCTCTTCTCTTTTAATGACTTTGTTGCTCACGTGTAGGACTCATATGCTCCTCTCGTATTTATAATTTTCTTCTTCTCTTTTGTATCAATTACAATTATTCTGATTTCATCATTTTAGATCCCTAACCTTTTTCTCAATCTTTTAATTCGTTCACTCCGAGCCTCTCTTCTTCTCCTCCAATCGTAATAAATGTTTAAATATTTATTAGTTTAAATGGTGTTTTATTTTTGGGTAAAGTGCAATAGTATTTCTTAAACTAAGTTGAAATAATCTTTTGAACAGTGACATTTCAAATGTTATAAAATGATCATTAAAATTTCTAAATGATTACAAAATAAAAGATTAACCGAATTGTATTTAACGGTCTTTTAAAAATTGAAACTGGAATTGAATGACATAAAAATTACAGTTTTTGGTCCAATTCGAATAGGTTCGACTCAATAACTACGTTTTGTTGTTCACTATTTTTCAAACTCAACATTCAAAGAAAATAAACTTAGAGCTTAAACCAAGTGCAAACATATAAATTTAAATTCATAAAAATATTATTAGCATTAAAATTTTAATTTTCTTATAATAAATTGAAAATGAATTTGTTTTGGATAATTATTATTTTTTAATTAGATTTGATTTGGAACAAACGATTTTCATGTGAAAAAATCGAAACCGAATTAAATTATAAAACTATATTTTCAAACTAAATTAAAACTAAATGGAAAAATAAAAAAATCTGAAGCAAAATTAACCACATATTTTAATTAAGATTAGATTTTTGATTTTCTTAGTTTTGTTCTGTCTGTTTGTAATCTATAAATGGGAATGGCCAAAAAGATGTTCGTAACAATACCCTTTAATTTTTTTACTCTCTAATCACTTTATGTTTCTAATAAATTTAATGATCATTTTATAATATTTAAAAGTTCATTGGAGAAAAAATTGTTTCAATTTAGTTTAAGGGCTAATAGTAAACTTTAACCTTTTATTTATGGTCCGGAGTCTGGTTCTCTGTTTGGAATTTATAAAGAACTGCCGTATCAAATTGCTTGTTAAAGATTCAATGGCACTTTCCCTTTGTCGAACCATAATCAAGCTTACCCCAATCCCCAAAACCTGCCCTTCCTCTTCTCGTCTCCTCTCCCTCCGCCTCCAATCCAACCGACCCAACTTCTCCGACGCCGCAGATCCCTCCTCCGAAGCCGATCCCCACTCCGATCCTCTCCTTCGGAGATTCGAAGACGCCATCCACCGGATCATCGTCCAACGTTCAGAGCCAGATTGGCTTCCTTTCCTCCCCGGATCTTCTTACTGGGTCCCGCCACCCACCGCTCAATGTTATGGCCTTACCCACCTCCTTGATAAATTGGCTAATCCATTGACTCCGGAGGACCCTAATACCTCCAACTCAACTTCAACCACCCTCCGAGGTTGGCCTTCCTCCGACTATTTCATCAAAGGTGATTTCAATTTCCTATTGTTCATTAATTTTGGGCGAAAAGTTACATTGACATTAGAATTGGAATTTAATACCCAATTCAACTTGTCATTTTAGTTTGTTGACTTATTTGGATTTGGTGTTTTTTACATAATTCGTTTATGAATTGGGCATCTCTTAATCAGATTTCGTTATCGTGATTGCTTTTGGAATTTAGCGATTGAAAAGTTCCTTTAACAGTGGATAAAGATAAGAACATGTATCTGCTGTACGTAAAATAAAATTCCTAACTTTAATACTGTAAACTTTACCGCTTTTGATCCTTGTATTTGTGTTCAAATGCAATGCCAAATGAAACCTTAGAGGTTCACGGTGAAAGATAAACTCTTTCATTTTGAATTTTTGCATTGCCTTATGCTTTTGAATAATAATTTGCTTTCGGGATTTTTTTTCAGTTTCGTAATGATCCAAAAAGAAGCTTTAATTTAGGTGGTATAGTTGCTTTTCCTGTTACACCCACTCGAATATGATGGGGACATAATCTCCCCTCAGATTGGCAGAACATAATGTTTCTTTTTCTTTTTGTACAAATTAGATTGGGATATGAAACATCGGTATGCTAATAATTTTTTAAAAGTTTTTCCATATATTTGGAAGGTCTTAAAGGGGCATTATATCCCTGTATTAGGTCTGGATATCCGTCAGACAAAGGGTCGAGACATAGGTACTTATTGAAAAAATCGGGAGTCGAAGCAACATATAGATAGGCCTAGAGGAAGGAATTAAAGATGTTGAGATTCAGACCTATTAGATATCACCTCTTAATGGTAATTGCATAAGCTAATTGAGCTAAGCTTTTGTTCCAATATAAATGTTCTTTAAAACGTTGCAGGCAGAACCCCACATCCAGCAGAGGTGGACATGGCTTCAAATAATCCAAAATCGGAGGAAGAGGAAGGATGAAGAATGCAATAATATGGGGTAAGTTATATTTTGCTTGTTGCTTAAAAATTTTGCATGTCTGATAGAAGTGTGAAGATTTTACCGCTTTTATGAAGTTTTTCTATTACCAATCATTTGCTGGTCCATCTAGACTTGTTTGAGTTCTGTATCATGTCGTGTTTCAGTTAATTTTTTTTTCACGTTCTTAATCTTTTCTCACATTGGCAGGTGTAGAAAGGGTGTAAGAACACATTGCTAACCTTTCCGTCAGATTGGAGTTGTATAGGTTTAATGTAGTCTAGTGGAGTATAATAAATTGTTTCTAAACTTTTCGCAGCTCAAATGCATTTCATACCAAGTGTGTTGTAATTCATCTGATTTAGCTTTGTTATATTTTGTTCTTGTGTAAATTATCAAATCTTATGAATATTGATTGTAAAATTTTATCTTTATGATGTATCTATTATCGAAGTAAATTTGAAGCTTTCCTCTCGACACTATGGTCCTGATCCCATGCTTATAATTTGTGAGAATTTGGGTTACATGTATATAAGGGAAATTTGTATTAAAAAAAACATGCATATATCTGTGTCTCGTTTGTGACATCATGATAAGTTCTATTGATAATTGTAGCCGCTAAATGATTTTGATATGTGAAGTCTAATTGCTATTAGGTTTTGAATGAGACGAGATAGATTGTAAGTTATTTGAGATTGACTCAGTCAAAGTTGAGTTAACTCTCAAATCGAATGGATTCAATTTGAATTCTTAATAAGTCGAAATGCGTTATGTAATTGAATTCTTAATAAGTCGAAATAAATTATTTAATTGAATTTTAATAAGTTGAAATGAGTTATTTAATATATAATTCAAAAAGTTCGCAAGTAACTTTAAAAAATAATATATTAAATCTTTAGAATTTTAAATTAAATTATTGATAATGTTAACATTTATATGTTCTTTTTTTTAATACAATATAAAGTTTTCATGTATCTAGAATTCAACCTCTAGTTTGTGCTTCAATTGAGTTATGTTTGAGAATACTTCGATTTTAAGTTTTTTAGTCCACAAATCGAGTTTCCATTTAAGATTTCGAGTCGAGCTTGAATATTTTAAGCTTTCGAGTAGAGCTTTAATTCGTTATTTCAAGTTCATGTCGAATTTAATAATTTTAAACTTATGAGTTTTCGTATTAAACTTGATAATTTTAAACTTATGAATTTTCGAGTAGAATCAAATTCAGTTTTACACATTTTAAGTTAGAGTTAAGCTCAATAATAAATTGAGCTCGACTCGTTGATAGCCCTAATTGCTATAACATATTGTTGTGAATCGTAGGACCTAGGACTAAATTGACAGATGTACCTACAGAATCTTCTAATTTGAGGTAGGTATGTTTGAAGCTTGTGGTACTCTTTCCAACAGTGGTGTAATGAGCTTAACATTGTTTAGCAGCTTCATATGTTGAGTAGTAAGTATGGTTTATCATGATGCCAGGCCAGCAGCTTAGCTGATTTCATCTCTTCATTTGTTTATTTTACCAACAACTTGACTAGTAATGGCTTAATCTGTAGGCTCTTTCCAATGCATAAAAAAGCTGGAAGAGACTTCAACACTTTACAATTTTCTAATGTGACACTCTTTTTTATCCTAATTTAGTCCACTTAATCATGAGTCAACAGCATCGTAGACTAGAGGTTTAGGGTTAGTGCTATTGTCTCGTCCTTGGAGATTCCAACTTCAAAGTGATTTGTAATACCCTAAAAATTTAGATAGTGACTAAAATGAAAATTTTGAAAGTTTGTTGGTCAAAGTAGAAAATTGAAAAAAGTTTAAGGACCTAAGTAGTAATTTTCCCAAAAATAATTTTATTCTATAAATAGATTTAGTGAGTGACCAAATTTGAAATTTTTAAAGTTTGGTGACCAAAATATAATTTTTGAAAAAGTTTAGAGACCAAAATGGTAAATTTAAAAAGTTACAAATTGGCCCAGTGAATAATTAGTTTATCTCAGGAACAACGTTTCTGTGGTAATCAGAATGTTAATACGAGTTTTGTAATAAAAGTTATAAAGCAAGGAAGTTGAGAAAAAAATCGGTAAATCAGATCGAATAGAAAATTTAAAAAAATTCGAAGGATGATAAATTAGACCGAAAATATTATTTTCACATATTTAAATGTTGGAAAATAATATAAATATTGAGATTTAAGGGTTTAATTCCATGTTTAATTTGGACAGTTGGATTAAAGTGGCAAGATTGTGATTTTTGGAAAATTGCAAGGGCAAATCGATAAACTAAGATCTTATTTGTTCATCTTTGACTTATGGGAGATGATAAGGTTGAGGTGTCTTATTTTGGAAGATGAAAGATTGAAGTGTCTTGGGTTAATGGTGATTATGAAGTTTCATTAAGGGTAAATTGTATTTTCTCAATTTAATGATTTTAATATTAATTAAAGGTAAATTTAAGGTAGATAAGCATGAAAATAATCTAAAGTTTCATGCCAAAGGTGTTCATCATCTTCTCCATTGTCGTGAGCTATACCAAGGTAAGGGGAAAAATAGTTTTTCCTTTTCAAGCCATTTCTTATGGAATTTAAGTTATGTCGTGAAATAGGAAAATGAACTAGTTGAAAACGCAATCTTTTGGTACCAATTATGCTTGCTCAACTTGCTTGATTTCAAAGATCCCAAATCTTAGGGTTTATGTTCATGCTAGGGTTCATAAAATTGATGATGAATATTGATGTTTTTGAGATTGTAGATTCATTTTCAAGCTTGATTTATGATTAAAACATGTTCAAACTTCCTAGAGATGATTCTATAATTTTCGGTCAAATGAAGAAATTATAGAACTTAGTGTTATGATGAGATTTGATTAAGGTTTTGATTGTTGAGATGTTGTAAGGGTTGATTGAAAGTTGATTTCATGCTTGAATCGAATCAAAATCAAGAAAAATCATAAAAACTTAGTTTCTATGTTTAAAGCATTCGACCATGGGTTGGTTGAGTGAGAAAATTTATGGAAAAATTTTATAAGGGATGGAAATGATGTAGGAAGTATTCTACAAGCCTTAGAAAAATTTGGGGACCATTTTGTAATTTTTGAAAAGTTAGGGGACCAATTCAGATATTTTGGAAAAGTTATGAATGGTTGTATAATTGTTTAATAGTTGATGTACTATGCTGGAAATTACTGTTTTGGAATTGAAATGAGTGTTTAGATGTGAAATATGACCATTTTGGAAGTTTGAAAAAATTGGTGAATTAAGTGCAACATTCGCATAGTTAGAGTGCTTAAATGTAATTATGCCTTTGTAAAAGCACTTGAATGGTAATAATTTCAATGTTGGAATTTTTGGTATTAAGAATATAAGTGATAAAATGGTGAAAGAACATTTTGTGTAAATTGGAAAAGTTAGTGCCAATGTTAAAATAAATTATTAAGTGTTAAGTATTTTGGTAGAAAATGAATTTCAAGTATATTATGGATTTTGGTTTTGGGGATGTGTTTATGTTAGTACAATACTAACATATGTATTAATATGAATTTGTGATTTATACAGATCGTGATTGATTTGTGATCAAAGCAAGTCAAGTATAAAAGGGTTTATTGTTGATCATAGTGAGACATATATATTAGGTATATATAAAGTGTCAAGGTGAGTGTAATACATACATGAAATTGTACATAGATGTTTTATACATCATTTGAAAGACTTGTGATAAGTCGACCTTGTTTATATCAACATGATATTATGTTATTTTTATAACTTCGATATCACATTGATATGTCACAGTGTGAAATTATAGTGCATTGATAATGAATAATGTGATAACTTACCATGAATGTTATTTTGGGTATAAATTGCCCTAATGTTAAATATATGGTTATATGATACCATGGATGAATGAATTAGACTATATGCCTAAGTAAGTCATTGAGGGACAAGGTATAGTTGGCTTGCCATAGACTCTAGTAGCAAGCTGCATATTCGGGATTGCACTGAAGTATTAGTGCATATGGTGGGCACGACCTTATGTGTCATATTCGGGCATGCACTTAAGCATACCTAATACAAATGGTGGGCAAAAACTTATGTGTCATATTCGGGTTAGCACTACGGTGCATATATATGTATTTGACTCGTGTACCCAGGGTCCTCAGGGTTTAAATTGGGCTATGGTTTATCGGTTAATGAATGATAAACATGCAAATAAGCTTACGAGCTTATGGATAAATGACAAGTATATTGTTAAGAAACTTTGTATTATGTTATATCATATTGATTATGGTAAAATATTAGACATGCAGGTAACATGATCTTATGGCATTTTGATTTTGACATTGAATTTCATGCATGAGTTGTATTGCATTATTTATTGTTTTAAATTGCCTCACTAAGTATATATTTAGTGTGTGATGATTTTCACGCGTAGGTAAAAAGCCAAGAGTAAAGTAAAGAGTACCGAGCACTCCAGACATCAAGGAATATACTACAATATCAGTAAGACATCCTATGATGGAATTTTGACTTTGTTCGTGACATGTACTTATCAATGTCCTAGTTCCTCTGTTTAACTATTTTGAAACTGGTTTGTAATGGATAAATTTAATCGTTTTATGCTATTTTAAATATGGATAATGTGAAACAATATTATTTATTTTGAGTATATGTAATTAATATACATATATATGTTTTAAATATGACATGATAGTTTTATGTGATTTAATATTTTTATATTATCAATTACCAATTTGTGAAAATAATTTTGTAAATCACCTTTGGAATTGGGAAATATTTTTAGAAATCATGTGACATCTATAGTTGTTACACGCGTGGCCTTGGAACACTTCTTGGACGGTTTGACGACTAAGTCAGCATAAAAACATTAAGTAAGAATACTTAATAAAAACGCGGATGCACAAAGAACTAGAAAGGAGATGACTCTCAAAGAACAAGAAGAGAGAATTGAGTGAATGCTCTTTATTACTCAAATGAAGTAAAAAGTGAAGTGTGTACAAATGAGGTGGGAATGCCTTTATTTGTAGTTGAATCCTCTTACAATGGACGACTAAGATCAAACTAGATCAATAGCAAATATGAGCCCTATTAATTACAAATCTTTATGCTTAAGGAAACTCCATTAATCACCATCAAATCAAATCCCCTTTTTAAGGGAATATACCCAAGCTACCACTCTTATGACATCATTAGTCTTATTCTTTCCTTGGATGGTTGCTCACACTCGATATGGTAAGATTTCTCCACAATATCCTCTAATTTGTTGTCTCTTACCATATTTTTGTTACATAGTGGACAAAATTTGATAAGATGCCACTTACCTTGTTTGTACGGTGAGTGTGAATAGGCTCAGGACCTTTAGCACTCTCCACATTTTGGGCCAAGTCTGATGGACTTGTCACGCCCAATATGCCCTTTAGAACCTCTGTCGCAGACTATAGTACACATGTTTCGAGCTTGATATCATGG